TGAACCTTAAACCGCATAAACACATTTCATTACACCAAATACACAAAATAATGTTATTTTTAGCATTATCATATGACCCCTTTAAAAGCTAGAAGAATTCTAGTTCATGTGTGACACTGGGTGTCAAACTCAATTCCTGGAGTTTTGTTCCAACCCTGCTCCAACACCCATACCATGTAGTTTTTGAACAAGCCTGAAGGACTTGATTAGTTGGATCAGGTGTGTTTAATTAGGGTTGACTCTAAACTCTGCAGGGCCTTCCAGGAATTGAGTTTGACACCCCTACACTGAAACTCAAGTCAAGCTGTGTTATTAATTAATGACTGGCTGAAGGTACCACATAAACATACACATCCAAAACCCCTCATTGGCTAAGCTGGACATAGGTCCATTTGATGGCATACAGCAACTATCAGCAGGCTCTAAGGAGGTGACACTAATTGGCCAGACCACATTTCCATGCTAACTAGCCAAACATTCACCTCTGGGATTTAGTAAATGTAAAAGATCTTTTAGGAATACTACACAGAATAGTATCATGTAGGATTTCAAACATGTCCACACACTTATGGGATGAGATTGTTTTTCATCTACATTTCTGTTTAACCATTTCAAATTCATTATTGATGTGCTTATTGAAATTCTTTTATGCTCTACGTATGTTTAAAAAACTTTATAGTTTTATAGTAGTTAAAATAATACTTTAGACAATTATAAATGTACAGGATACTTGTCAGATCAGACAAAAATATATTTTCCAAGTATGACATACTAATGTAATTAAATTTTGTTGACAGACATCATTTATTTTCTTTAAAGTGATGCACTGCAGTAAATGGACTTCATTATACAGTATACTGTGTTTCCTGAATTGAATCCTTCAGAAAGTGTCCTAATCTTCAAAACATTCCATCGGACAATGTAAAGATTTCCTACTGTTGGTCAACAATTTTTTATTTGGTCTTGCCGCATAATTATAAAAAATGCTTTTTTTTTTTTTTGAGAAACACCACTCCCTGACAATCCTTCATATGTAGCTGCCAAAGTATTTAAAGAGTCTGAATACATATGCAAACAAGAGATGGGAGTTGTTTATTTTTATTACATTTGCAAACCATGTTAAATATGATTCAACTGCACTCCAGTAAAACTGAGGCACATAGTATGAAACCTTTCTACATTCTTTTTTTTTTCCATACAAATAAGTTACGCAACGTATTTGCCATCCATGTAATCAGATATGAAATCAGATTAATCAACTTCTACCGTTTTAAAATTGTTTGATGGAGGCAGGCGTGCGTTCATATCTGTCAAGCAACTGTGCATATATAATCTCTTATAATGCAGCAATCAATTTTTAGAACAACAGACTTCATCAATACTTCACTAATAAATAGGTAATTACATACGGTCTATTTTAAAACTGCCAAAAGCTCAGCCACATCTGGAGGAAATGCTGGCAAGTTATCAGCTGTCAAGCTGTTAGCAGTCAAAGTCTGGGCCCAATATACGGAAATATTTATAACCCGTTCATGCAAACTTTTTTTTTTTTTTTTTTTTTGTCTCTCTGGCAAGAAATATACTCTATGCAAGGGCTTTTGAAATGGTTAACCCAGGGTCACTCTGAACCCCAGGTAAACGGAATCCTGTGTTACCTTTCACTGCTCAAAATTTACCCAGGATGAACAATTTTTAAGATGACATTTCACACTGTACATTCCTAAACCCTCGGCTAACATTCTTATTTGCATATTTGCTGTGTCAGTGTCATTTATAGGACAAAAGCAGCACACAGCCCGTTTACATGCATGGTGTATCCTCAATAGGCCAAACTGCCGACTGTACTATCAAGTTTTTCCTGAATGGACTTCTGACCATAAAGGTAAGAATAAAACGTTCTCTTCACTCCAATTCACATTTTTTCTAACTCTATCGACGTTTTCCCTGAAACAACTGTTTATACAATGCAAATGGTTTCCGTGACTGTCCAAAGCACATGAATATGAGGTTGTCTGTTGCTAAGCATCTAGCCTCAACATTTTAACACTGGCACACATATACATTTGGCCCCGCAACGCAGGGTTAACACCGCAAAAGTGGTGCTAACCCTGCTCCAGAGCAAGGATTCATAACCCCGGGTAAAAAAGCACTTCTAAATTACAAGGGTGAAACATACCTTTAGGTTTAGAATAACGATAACCCAGGGATAAGAACAGTGTGAAAAGCCCTACAGTCACCACAAATGCTACACATGCTTGAGTTAACACATTTTTGTGTTGAGAAGAAAAAAAAAATGTCAGAGCGGCATTTTCCGCTCTCCCCCCCCCCCCCTTTTCACT